TGCCACCAGCTCCCTGGTCCAGGAACATCCCTGATCCTGCTGTACCACGGATGGACCAGAAAGTCCCAGGTTAGAGAAACAAAATACAGGACTACGCAGTACTTTAAAGACTAACAAGATGGTTTATTAGGTGATGAGCTTTCGTGGGCCAGACCCACTTCCTCGGATCAAATAGTGGAAGAAAATTGTCACAACCATATATACCAAAGGATACAATTAAAAAATATGAAAAGGACAAATCAAATTTCAGAACAGAAGAGGGATGGGGGGAAGGTAAATGTCTGTGAGCTAATGATATTAGAGGTGCTAATTGGGGAAGCTATCTTTGTAATGGGTAAGATAATTAGATTCTTTATTCAGACTCAGGTGTAAAGTGTCCAATTTAAGCATGAATAACAGTTCAGAGGATTAGAGAGGTTCAACTTGTATAGGATTCATAGTTTGGGTTAATGACTCTCAGCATCCCCATTATACAGATTGTACCAACACCCCTGCTTGAGCCTGGACAAAAGGCAATAGTCACCTGTCAGCATACATTTCCCAGTTAGAACAAAAAGCACCTTGAAGAAGCCGAACTGTGGACACAGTAAGAAAGGACATGTTAAAAAATGGTAGCCATCAATATAAGAAAAAATATACCGGATACTTGTATATTGTATATACATAACTGGCCAATTAAATATATTGCTAATTAGTACTGGTTAAATAGTGGTTTGAGGTGATAAAAACCTAAAAGTAGGACTTTGGCACTATCTTTGGTAGATAAACCCAGATTTTAGATAATAAGAGGAGATCTGGAAAAATATGCTAGATAGTGGCAGGTTTGAAAGCACTCAGGATGCATCTACACTGCACCCATAGCTCAAAATAAGATATGAAATTTGAGCGATATTGCTATTTTGAATTAATTTCAAAGTAGGATGCATCTACACTGCACCCAATTTGGCACTTTCTACACAGCGCCAAATTTCAAAATAGAGCACTATTCCAAAACACTCCTTAATCCTTGTGGGAATTAAGCACAGCAGCTCACTCAATCTTGGGAGAAAAAGGGCAATTTACTGTTGTTACAACTGTCATGTTGTTACAACTGTGCAGTTTTGCTGTGGTTTTTGTTAGCTTTGTGCTAGCATTGTATAAATAAAAATATTATTTATTTTACTATGATCCATCCCAGATCTATAAATCTTGGATGATATTCTGCTCCTGTTAAAATCTGAAATTACTCCACAGAAGTCATTTGGAGTTACTTCAGGTTTACATGACAGTAGTAACAACAGTAATTTGCTCTTTTTCTCCCAAGGTTGAACTACCTACTCATGAGAGGGGCTTATAACTGGGAGGGAGACAGGGGCTTATAACCAGGAAGGGGATGGGGACACAGGGCTGGGAGGGGAGAGGGGGTTAAGGATTGGGAGGAGGTGTGGGGGGCAGCTCGATGTGCCACTTCGGGTGTGGGGACCTCATCAGAGTTGGGGTTGGGTGGGTCTGGGTAGCACAGGGAGGTGGACAGCAAGGCGGACTGGACCAAGGTCAGGGTTGGTAGGGACAGGAGGAGGGGGCATAGGCATCACTTGGGGAGGGGGCTTGGGCATTGCTAAGGGAGGGAGCAGAGGCATAGCATGGGGAATGGGGGATGGGCAATGGCCATAGGAGGGGGGGCAGGAGGGGAGAATTGGACAAGAGGGGGGCTGGGGCAGGGTTGGCAGGGAGCAGAGGGAGGGGCCATAGGCATCAGTTGGGGAGGGGGCATTGGCATTACCTGGGGAGGGAGCAGAGGCATAGCGGGGGGGCAGGCGGAGGGGGAATGGGCATAGCAGGGGGAGCAAGAGGAGCAGGAAGCCAAGAGCAGCGGCATCAGGAGGGTGTGCCATCATGTGTGACATGACGACACACATGGTATCACACCTCTGCATCCGGTGGCTGCCCATCAATACAGGCGAACTAGGCGGTTGCCTAGGGAGCCAAGATAAACAGCCGTTGAGAGCTTTGGAGGCGGGGGCGCCAATTGCGTGCCAATCACGTGTTTTGCCTAGGGTGCCAGTTGCCAGCAGCTCGTCTAGGGCCACTCCTGTCTGCATCAACTGGTCCCATGCGCAGTTCCGCTACTGCAAGTCCTCGCAGACCTTGTGCACCAGGGTCTGGTGAATGTCGTGCAGGACACTGATGTGCTGGCACATGAGGTCTTCTTGGATCCTGGCGCACCTTCGGGTCCCCTGGGCTCTGGCGGGTGGCTGCGGTGGTGTGGCTCGGCCCTCAGGCCCGGCTGTGGAGAACACACAGAAGGAGAGGCGGTCAGTCATCCATGCACACATTGTTCCTGAGGCTGTGGTCTCCTCTGTGAGCAGCGACCAACAGTCCGTGGCCCACAGGAGAGGGATGTCCCGGGAGCAACGCCATGTGTTGCCTTCACAACAGGCCCAGACTCACAGGGGTCCCGACATGCTCAGATGATCGTGCTGCCTGTTTCCCACCCCACCCCCCGAACCCATGGACAAGCAGGCAAGGGAAGTGTCTAGCCACAGTGGGATCCCCTCACGGGCTGCAGCGGAACCTGTGCCTCCCTGGGGTCTGCACACACAGGTGTGGCTCGCAGCACTGCCTACGTGAGCGGCTGCTACCTCGCATGTGCAGGCATGCCCGCGTGCTGTCTGTGGCACTCCTCGGGCTGTGTGGGGTCTTGCTTGTGCCCCTGTGACTAGCCTTCTTCAACCCGGGCCGCCCCCACTCCAGGGCAGGAGGTGTGTGGCCTCCCCTGAGCCTGGCAACAGGATTCCACCCATGCTCAGGGGCTGCCTGCTGCATGCACGTGCCGCACACTGATGCTGTACGTGGTTGCATGTGGACATGCCATAGCACAATGTTCAGCCCGAGCAACACTCACCTCCGCCCCCACCCCCGCCCTTGCCCCCTGTGCGCCTGCCCGCCCCAGCCTGTGTGTGTGACAAAGTGAGACCACTCACTTGAAGATCCCTCCCAGGCCTACGAGGAGGCCTGGAAGACGTTCTGGGTCACTGGCACCGCCTCAAGGGACAGGGTGATGGTGCCCATCTCCTCCTTCTCTGTCTCTGGCTGGTCCTAACCCTCCTGCTCCTCCTCTGCGGAGACCTCCAGCCAGGCAATGATGGGGGTCTCCAGGCCAGAGTCCACCAGGACAGGTGAGGAAGACGTTTCCCCACCCCCCAGGATCTAGTGCAGCTCCTTGTAATAGGGGCAGACGCGGGGTCCTGCCCATGAGCGCGAGCTGCGTTCTGTGGCCCAGATATATCCCTGGCGGAGCTCCTTGACTTTACTCTGGACCTGTTCCAAGGTTCAGGGTGGGTGTCCGCGCTCTGCCAGGGAGTCAGCCATCCAGCCATAAATGTCCGCATTTCTGTGCTTTGCCTGGGGATCCTGTAAGGCCTCCTCTTCACCCCAAAGTTCCAGGAGAGACTGGATCTCTGGGCCTGACCAGGATGGGGTGCACCTCTTGTTCACAGTGGGTAGGTTCTGGGACCCCGGTGCTGCTCCCGATGAGGACCAGGGAGGTGCGGGGGCTGGAGGCTGAGCCATCTGAGCAAGCCTGTGGCAGGGGGGGGCGCGGGGGAGGGCGGGTCCC